AGCTTATTCAATTAAGCTTTGGTAACAAAACCTGGAAGCTGCTTGGTGTCCATGCAGAGCTGCACCAGATTTTGCACGCTCCAGTTTTAGTAAATCAACCCCAATGTGATTTCTCTATATACTTTGTATTCCTTAAAGCCAAACTCCAGGTAAACAACAAAATACCCAAATGAAATACATATATGAGAGCTGTTTCACCAGCCAAAGTATTTGTGATTCTCTTCAGTCCTGAGATTTACATAGTCCTGACACACAGCACAGTCCTGGCCAAGAATGGGATGTGATCTTTCTCTGCTGTAGTTCTACTTTCACCTTCACAGGTATTCTCACCCCTACCCTGTGACTGGACAGTGAAAGCAGAAGCAGCACAGTGATGAGCTCATCTCATTGTCTTTCAGCTCACTCCTCATATCAGCATGCTCCTTGCAGTGCAACACACCCGATTGGCTTGTTTTGCTTCTTCTACTTCCCCCTCTCTCAGTTTTCTGTACAGTAGGTTGCCAGAAGCTGATACCAGGCCAAACTAAGGAATGCTCCTGCCCGGGTGGACTAATTAGTGGAAGAGGATGAAAGAAAGAGCGCACAAACCTTGCGCATTACCTCAATAAATAGAGACTAATTTTATTTAATTTAGGAAATATACTCACAAAGGTGATGGTAAAGCAGGCATACGTTAACCATAATCCACACAGGGTTACAGGTAAATCCAAAGGGGGGGATAAAGGCTAACGCGTTTCGAAGAGTGCTTCCTTCTTCATCAGAGCTGGGTTGAGCAGATAGAAACTTCAGTATGGCAGAGTTCCCAAGGCAAGGAGACATTCAGCCACTGAGTGTCAGTATTACAGCAGTTCAGCCTGTTTAGTCACTAATTAGTGGAAATTACGGCAGCGACACTCCTATCAGGCAGAGTAGAAGCCACGATAGCTGCTGGAATGAGGAATCTATGCTTTTCTTTCTCCAATGGTAGCTTACTGTGAATGGAAGAGAGCAATAAAAAGAGGTACCCGCTAAGAACATACCTCCTTATTAGTACAGATCCTACTGGGGAGTGAGAGCAGACTAAGTCCGGCCATACATGGGTCGATTTCCAAAAGATTTTTTGTTTGAAAATTGGACCTAGGAATAATCGGCTGATTTTCACTCTATTAGTGGGGCAATGGCACTGGCCGATTTTCGTGGTTTCTCCCCATTTAGTTTATTGGGCATGCTGGAAAACTTGTGAAAAACGACCGATTTTCTAAATCATTGCTGGCACCATCGGATTACAGAACAAACAATGTTTTTGATTTTTGATCGAAAAATCGTTCGGAATTCGACCCATGTATGGCCTGCTTAACTTTCTTCTGGTCTCCTCTTGTCTCAGAGGCCAAAGACAGGAAGTAGGAGAACCTGCCTTCTCTCCCGAGTGGACTCCATGATGAGAAGAAGATCTGAACAGTGTAAGTAGGGTGGGGGGGAGCAACTCATAGCCACCCTACTTACCTGAAAGCCTTTCAACTCCCCTCCCTCCCTAGAGGGCCCAATAATTGAAGAACTCCAGGAAAAAAAATGTTTTTCTTAAAATGTGCTGTGTTACAACCAGTTAATCCCCATGAGGTGTTTTCCACCCCCAGGATCTCTGCCGTTTCTGTATTATTTAAATTTCTCCTGATGCCAGCATCTAGCGCTTTAGGGCCTGTTCACACTAAATGCAGCTACCTGTGTTTTTTTCCCATGGACCATGCAAGTAAGTGCAATAACTAATAGTTTTCTATCAGTCATATTCACACCTGATTACTGTGTTTCTCTGCATTTCAGAGACGTGTGATATCATGCAACCTTTGCGTAACATCACACCTCACTAGATGGTCTTGTACATCACTGTACAGCAAGCAGGACACTGAATTGCTGTGTGTTGACATGAATGAAGTGTCACTTTCTACATTTCACATAAAGTTCACCAAAAAAAGGGAGCTGTATGATGTGCTTCACACTACCCCTGCCACACATCTCTGCATCCCGAAACAGACTGCTGCCCACACGCTACACCACTCCGGTCAAGTGTTAATAAGCCCTTACCCCTGGCTCACATATATGCGCCTGTGCGGGCCGTGTTTTGCGTGGGCAGGAGAGACCCTTCATTTGAACGGACTCCCGTGCCCCGTGACACGTAGGGAAGAAGTCCCTGCACTTCTGAAAACACAGCCCGCACGAGAACCTCGGTTCCCAGTTGGATTTTCCAGCGCGGGTGGCGTGCCATTAGAAATAATGGCACCCACCCGCGGGTCTGCATTCCTGCACAGATTTTCATGCGGATGCGCAGCGGCACCACCCGCACATATGTGAACCTAGCCTTAGGCCCCTTTCACATGGGGTAGACTCCAATGTGGAGGTGGATGACAGGTCCGTATCCGCTCCACTTATGCAGTGCAGACATGCTCTGTGGGCTGTCAGATATAAACAGACTACCTGTCCATTCACATTTTGGAAATGGATCGTCCCTCCGTCTATCAGATTGGATGTAGGAGAACATCTTGTTGTTCCATAGAGGAGAATGAAGGTTCTGATCGGGTCCCCCTGAAAAACGGTTAGGCAGACCCGATCAAAATATTTCTGTAAAAGCTAGACTTACCTTTGCAACAAGGAGAGCTGTGGTTCTTTTACACAGAAGCCTCACTCTTCTTGTCCATTCACAGAATGTTTTGTATTTAGTGAACTAATCACAAAATATTTATTTCTTTATTTTAGGTGCTTATATAGCACTGTACATTTATGCAGTGCTTTACATATATATTGTACATTCACATCAGTCCCTAACCCACAAGGGGTGTACAATCTAAGGTCCCTAACTCACATTCATACATACACATACTAGGGACAATTTGGACAGGAATCAATTACTCTACCAGCATGTCTTTGGAGTGTAGGAGGAGGAAACTGTTGTACACAGAGGAAACCCATGCAGGCACAGGGAGAACATGCAAACTCCAGGCAGGTGGTGCCATGGTTGGTGATTTGAACCAATGACCCTAGTACTGACAGGTGGAAGTTTTAACCATTTAGCCACTGTGCTGCCCATACAAGGCATTCCGAGGATGGACAGGGGGAGAAGAGGAGCAGATAAATGTCAGATAAATGTCAGTACTGTTTCTGTATAGGATAATCACAGCTCTCCTTGTTGCAGTTTCCAAAGGTATAGAGAGAGACATACTATCCGACATCAGCAGAACTCGAATACTCTGAACTCTAAATAATACAGAAACAGCAGTGATTGTGGAGGTGGAATACATCTCATGAGGCTAAACTAGCTGTAACAACACATTTTAAGAAAAACATTTGCTTGTACTGATGCATTGGCAGCCCATTAAAAATGAATGGCTGACATAACGCGACGCACAATAACATGGGACAAAATGCATGTTAAAGTGCCTGCTTTAATGCAATGCGCCAGAACAAAGTGTGAATGACGTGGAACTTAATACATAAAACAGATGCATATACTACTATGTTATGGCATTATTTTCTGTTTGTTTTATTATATATTCTCTTGCTATATACAAATACACGTGTTCTGTCAATTCACCTTTGTTTTGTTTTCTCAGAAGAGATCTTATATTAAGTCTGATGTTAGGCAGCACAGTGGCTAAATGGTTAGCACTTCTGCCTGGCAGCATTAGGGTCGTTGGTTCAAATTCCAGCCACAGCACTACCTGCCTGGAGTTTGCATGTTCTCCCTGTGCCTGCGTGGGTTTCCTCCGTATACTCCGGTTTCCTCCCACACTCCAAAGACATGCTGGTAGGTTAATTGGCTCCTGTCTAAATTGGCCCTAATATGTGTATGTATGAATGTGAGTTAGGGACTTTAGATTGTACACCCCTTGAGGGTTAGGGACTGATGTGAATGTACAATATGTATGTAAAGTGCTGCGTAAATTGATGGTGCTATATAAGTACCTGAAATAAATAATATAGGTGGATATTTATCATACAGAAGCTATAAGATTCTGCTTGCTTTGTGGTACAATGTATCCCTCCATGTAAAATAGGGCATGAAGGAATTAGGTTTTATCAGAGTTGTGTTTATTATAGATCATTTGGTATGGTTTACAGTTTAATTTATTATTATACAAATACAGAAAAGAATCCCAAGCACATATTTCTTCACTCCTTCTCCCTCTCATTTGCTGCGTAGAAGGTTGGAGAGTATACAATAGCTCTAGCAGAGTGATTATTGAAAAAGGCATGCTGTATTCTGAATTCAGTGGGCAGTTAGCAAGGAAAGAAGTTACCATAGCAACCTCTCTCAATCTCAGACACAAATGCATCCTGATTTCAAAGCACTGAATAGATACATTTAAAAATGTATGAAGGTTCAAACATGGTTCATATATAAGTTAGTGCTCAGAATTATCAAGGGAAAAATACGCGCTATCCCCCTTCCGAATTGTTTGCTGTTTCAAGATCCTTCCACTGCTTTAAATCGGTAAGAACTGACTGCAATTCAAACCTATTTATAGACAGCAAATAAAGATCAATGCACCAACTTTGCCATGACCATTTACTTTCTGCCTCAATGTCACAGCGAATTTCCTGTTTTCACTTGGTAAATCTATTATTAAGCATATTTATAACAATGTATTATTTAGGATCTGTGGTTTTCTATGTTAGCTTCTTTCCAGTATGTGTTACTTTTCTGTAACTGTTTCTAAACTAGAAACCTTGATTCAGTTATCCATATTTAGTTCTCAGTCATACCGGGTGCGACTTGCCATGCGGGTTTCAAATCACACGGCAAATCGCACCCTGTTGTCCACAATTAAATCGGTTATAACAGTGCGATTCCGACTTGGTTGTAGCCATACCAATTTCTAAAGAAGTGCATGCACTGCTTCCGGTGCGACTTGCATAGACACCTGAAGTTGCATGAGTCGGATCAGTGTGACCAGGGACTTAACCATTTCCTTTCCAGCCCATGTACATAAACAGCCAGACAGGAGCAGTGCAGGAGTGGGTGGCCAGTTATAAACGACCTCCGCAATCACTGCCTGTGCGTGCTCCCTGGGAGCACACGGCACCGCGAAACGGGGCCCGCTGTGTCCAGAGGAACACCAATCGCCATACGGGACCTCTGTGTGAGGTCCCAATCATGTGATCCCTGATTGGCCAATCAGTAATCACATGAATAGTAGTAAGCAAGATGTCACTTCTGACATCATTGCTTACTACTTGTAAAATATGTGGATGATCACAGAGGTCACATGGTACAAGGCAGCCTTGTACCATGTGACATGCTGTGACCAATCACAGCTCTCACAGTATTTCTCAATGGCTGCAAGAATGCAGCCAGAGAGAAGAAGAAATTATTGATTTTACAGCCTTTATTGGTGTAAAAGCAATTAGTGTAAGAAAAAAAAAAAAAAAAAAATCTTCATCACCCCCCACAAGTAGTACAGTGTCACTATGGTGACACTGTACTGCTAGGGTGAAAGTATGTTAAAAAGAAAAAAAAAAAAAAAAACAAATATAAAAAAATTAAATAAAATGTAAAAAAAGTTTGAAAAATTATAATTTTTGGTTATAAACTAATTTGGGTTATTTATTTTTACTAAAAAAAAAATCTATTCCAGAATGTATTCTTAACTTAAAGGGGAAATTCACTCCAAAGGGGAAGTCCTGCTTCATATCCTCACTCCTCCTCTACCACATTTGACATATTAACATTTTTTGGGGGGGAATTAAAGTGGTTACATCGGTGCAGGGATGGACTGACAACTCATGGGGCACCCGGGCAATAGGGGATCATGGGGCCCCTGTGTCCTTGCCCACACTCAAACCACACCCTAAAAAGCCTATGAAAGGTACCAGGGGCATCTCATGAGGCCCCCTACTGACCCCGGGCAGTCCGCCCCTGCATCGGTGCGATTCTGACTTGGTCGGAGCCACACCAATTTCTAAAGTAGTGCACGCACTACTTCCGGTGCGACTTGCATAGACATCTGAAGTTGCGTGATTTCAAAGTCAGATCAGTGTGACCGGGGACTTAAAGTTATACTGAACTCTAGTTTTATACAGAAAAAAAATCTATTCCACAATGTATTCTTAACTTAAAGGGGAGTTTCACTCCAAAGGGGAAGTTCTGCTTTATATCCTCACCCCTCCTCTACCACATTTGACATATTAACATTTTTTTTTTGGGGGGGGGGAGTGGGTGCCTAGGTTTAATAGATATCCACTTCCACTTTCACTCATATCATCTAGACGACCCCCCATCTCTTTGCCTGCAGCATTCTGGGACACATTACAGGTCCCAGAAGGCTGCAGGACCATTCACAAAGTGCAGTGTGGCTTGCGCATGCACAGTGGGAAGTCAGTTGTGAAGCCACAGAGTCACAGCTGGCATCCCACAGTATTCATGCCAGCACCAGGTACCTAAAGAATAGCGAAGAACCAGGACAGGTGAGGACAGCTGGATCCTTGGACAGGTAAGTGTCTATTTAGTAAAAGTCAGCAGCTACAGTAGTACATTTTTTTTTTAGAGTTAAGATCCTGTTTAAAAACTACCTTCTGTTGCTCTCAGCTACCTCCAAATCTCCAAATTCCATTTCTTGCTGCCATGATCTGACTACCTGTTAGAGGGTGGTTATGTTGGAATTCTATGGTCCCACTCTATGTAGGAACATAGACACCCGCTCTTGGAACTAGGACTATGGGACTTATAGGGTGCACAGAGCAGCTAACGTGCACTGCTTGTTCCAAAAAACTGAAACAGGGTAAAGAAGAGGTTCTCGAGTAACAGAGGATGTTACAATGAGACAGAAAAATACAGTAAGGAATGGTTTAATGAAAAATAGATTATAGAGCCATTAAGTAGTGGATGTGTATGAATTATTTTTGGAGAATAAAGCCTCATACACACGATGAGAAAATCGGACAAATGATTGTTCTTTTTTTGCATACTAGTCTTATATCAAAAATGAAAAGGGTTACTAAAGTTGCGGAAATTCTCTTAAGACAGAATACAACTTCGGAGGTTATGTAATGTATTGTATTGTAATGTATTCTTTCATTTCCGAGCATGCGCAGTCTTGGCCACTTGATTTTTTACAGATGAATACTGTAGTGATTAAACAAAAATAATTTGTTAACATGCTCAAATCCAGAATATTGCTGCACTCCTTGGTACGTTTATTGAAGCATTAAAATGACATCACACGTTTGACAAGAACATTAACAAGGTGATACGTTTTAATTCAGCGCTTACTCAAAATCATTTGTTTTGTTATCTTCTGATAAAAATTTTCGTGCTTTTCTTTTTCGGATATTTTCACATGAACTGTTATGATTGGCTCTTGAAAGCTGTGTACTAACAATTAGAATATCGGACGATCACTCCAAAAGTGGTATTTTTTGTCCAATATTCTAATCGTGTGTGCCAGGCTTAAGGATATCATTTATAGTAATATAGTAAAATAGTGTCATAAATAATGAACTTAAAACAGAGTTATGTGCTATTTATTGCACACAGTAAACTAGGTAGAAAAGATCAAATGATATGCTTACATGGTATTTTTTCCAATCTACATCATCTTGGTAGGCTTCTTTAATAAATATGTTTCAGAATGTTTCTACCTCTGGAGACATTATGTGGCCTGCCATAGATTGGTGAAGTGCCTGCAAAGAGATGACTGTAAGCAGCAGACAGATCAGGAAAACGAGATAAAGGAGACTGTTCATAGGTGTCAGGTGATTCAGTGTGTTAGTGCACAGAGAACAGTTTTAAAGGCCTATCTCCAGTAACAGCTAGACTTGTATTCTAGCTGAAGGCCCATTAGGAAGACACAAGTGAAGGCCAGGTGCCTCCCTATGGGCATCTGGTTTAGCTTTGAACAATGTTCATAGGCTATTGAGATAAATTTTAAGAAAGGCACATCAACCTGCTCTACTTCCTTGCCGAAAACCAAATGATGAAGCTAAGTAAAGGTCAAGTTTTCCTACAGTTTATATATGTGTGTGATTATTCCTATTATTATGAAAGAACCTTGAGCTCTAGTTTTCAGGGTGAACTATGAGAATGATGGGGCATGAAACATGTGCCTAAAGGATTTGCTGAAACTTGGAACTGGTTAATAACCAGTTAATAACCAGTTAATAACACAATAACACCTTTTGAGGAGAGAATGTGAATTCTGGTGTGTTAGTGCACAGTGGGCAGTTTTCAAGGCCTATCTCCAGTAACAGCTAGACTTGTATTCTATCTGAAGACCCGTTAGGAAGACAGAAGTGAAGGCCAGGTGCCTTCCTATGGGCATCTAATTTAGCTACATGCAGGTCTACTGAGATAACTGTTAAGAAAGGCACATCAACCTGCTCTACTTCCTTGCTGAAAACCAAATGATGAAGCTAAGTAAAGGTCAAGTTTTCCTGCAGTTTATATATGTGTGTGATTATTACTATTACTATGAAAGAACCTTGAGCTCTAGTTTTCAGGGTGAACTATGAGAATGATGGGGCATGAAACATGTGGCTAAAGGATTTGCTGAAACTTGGAACTGGTTAATAACCAGTTAATAATGCAATAACACCTTTTGAGGAGAGAATGTGAACTCTGGTTGTGAGAAGAAATCATAAAGGGTGCTCCCTTAAAGTAGTTGTAAACCTCAGGCATGAAATATAAACAAAGCATATCCCTCTATATTGTGTACTTGTCTTAATTAAGAGCACTAAGTGTTATTTCTGTCTGCTGATTTGTTCCTCAGCTATCTGCATGAGCCATTTTTGTCAAGTTTTTCTGACACCAAGAGAAAAATGGTGACGTGCTATGCAGTAGAGCATGGGTGTCAAACTGGCGGCCCTCCAGCTGTTGCCAAAAGACAAGTTCCATCAGGCATTACAAGATTGAAAGTTACAAGCATGACTCCCAAAGGCAGAGGCATGATGGGATTTGTAGTTTCACAACAGCTGGAGGGCCGTCAGTTTGACACCCCTGCAGTTAAGTGACAGCCTCAGCCTTGTTCCTGTGAGCTGTATGGAGGGGGAAGTGTCTCTTCCCTCCAATTAGTTCTCAGCGCTCTCCTCACTGAGCTCTGAAGAATGTAATTCAGCTCTCCTCCCCCTTTTTTCAGAACTCTCAGATAAGCTTTATCAATTCAGCATGTTGAACGGATGTAGAGAAGAAAATACTGCAGATAAACAGGTACAACGTATGTAGGAGGGTTTGTTTCACCTCTGTGTATCACCTGAGATCAGTAACTTCACTTGGTATATGTAAGGGTTTACAACCACTTTAAGCAGCAGACTGGTGTTTCAAGAGTTGGAGCTGTGACTGTTTAAAACATTGGCCTAACTCTAATGGATATATGGACTGGTACCAATTTAGCAGATGGTTGCATGCTTGACAGCTATTGATATACACATCTATAAGCCTGGTGCCCCAGGTTGGTATCCTTCAAGGTGGACAGGAAAATCGCTTTAAAAATTAAATAATAATACTCCGAAGCCTACCTATGTATCACATACGAGGGTTCAATAATACTGCTTTTAGTTACTTATCCAATCACTAAGAAACACTATAAGGCAGTATAATATCTACAATAGCATAACTGTTTGCAGATCAATATGCTATACATAGCGCAAGGACTAAAATAACATTATGTGAAGCCACAAATTCAGAGTTCTAGTTCTATTAGCCTAAAGTGCAGATCATTGTTAGCTGAGATGATAGCACATTTATTAGTCTAAACCTAAAACCAGACACATTCATTTAGCTAAGAGATTATGTAGCAGTTTAGCCAGACAGCATTTGCAAACTATTTCATCTTAAAGGGTAGAGGGTGTTTGATGTTCCGGGGCTAAACACATGGAAATGATCATTTACTTGAAGAAAAAGAGAACCAGTCATTATTGGGCTTATACAAGAATCTCATTATTCTCTGCAGTCCAATAGTTGCTACCTATTAACAGCCAGATCTTACACCATGTAATGCATGCTTTGCAAAGGTCAGGCAGCCGCAAGGGCAGCAGCTATTCCTGAGAATGGTCCGCAAAAGAGAAAAAAAATCTAGTGAGTGACAGTTGTGTGGACAAAAATGCGTTGTTGTTGTCAGAGGCCAGAGGAGAATGGGCAAAC